TCCTGGGTCAGGGGACATTTGCCCCCTCCACGTCCGAGCATAAAGGTCTTTAGGGGTTAGTTTCTTTTCCAGATAACGTGTTTTCTGTCAGTGGTTTAAATGACCTACCAACCCCAGCACACCCCATCTTCGATTTTTAAATGTCATCCTGCCACCTCTGGGGTGGGCATCTTGAGGGTGTGTCTATCCCCAGGAAGGGTCTTGGGGACACTCCTCAGGCCCTCAAGGGACTTTTTGTCTAGCTTCAGGGACACCCTTGCCTGCACACACGAGTGTGCACAGGGTTATGCAACCTTCCCAAGATACAAGCATCTTCATCATGTTTGTGTGCACACACCTTCCTAGAAGCCCACCAGACACACACACACAACACTCACTGCAACACACATGTGTGAATTCACACATTCAATGTTTGTTGAGGATCTATTACATGCAAAGTGTTAGACTCGGCATTAAAGATAGAAAATGGAGTAGGAAAATTTCTATTAAAGAAAGAAAATGGAGGAGGAAATGGCAAGCCACTCCAGAATCTTTGCCTGAAAAATTCCATAGACAGAAGAGCCTGGTGGGCTGCAGTCCTTGAGGTTGCAGAGCTGGATGCGACTGAACACGAAAGATAGAAAAACAAGACAAGGAAAGGGATCTCTCAGTCTTCCTCTGTAGGCAAGGGTGTCAGGGAGGCTGCTGGGGCCCTGGGCATGGGGACTGTCCTTCTGTCTTTGAAAATGTCCAGGGTTGAGGTCTGTGGTGTGGTAGAGAGGCAGCACCCCCACTGCCATCAGGGCTGATAGCACCCACCTTAGTCTGGGTGAGGGGCCTCCCCAGGTATATTTGTTGTTTAGGCACTAAGTTGTGTCTGACTCCTTTGCGATCCCATGGACTGTAGTCCACCAGGCTCCTCTGTCCATGGGAATCCCCCGGCAAGAGTACTGGAGTGGGTTGCCATTTCTTTCTCAGGGGATCTTCTCTACAGGGATTGAACCTGCATCTCCTGCATAGCAGGTGGATTCTTTACCACTGAGCCACCTGGGAAGCCCCTCCCAGAGTATAGATTCTTTCTTTCTTCATCCTCAAAGACTCCCCACTGATACGGGGATTCAGAGGACTGAGGGTCCTGTCCCTCCATCAAGTCTCAGGACTGCCCCCCATATCTGCTTCTCTGGGGGAGTCAGGCATAGGAGATTGTCTCCTGCTCTCAAGTTGGGAGCACCCCCTCCCCCAAAGGGGATCCTGTGAGAAGTGGGGGAGAAGTTGGATTGCCTTTTGTATTGGATTGGCCCAAAAGTTCATGTGGGTCTTCCCATAAGATGGTATGGAAAAACCTGAACCAACTTTTTGGCCAACCCAGTACTTGTCCCGGCATCTCGGGAGGGAATGCATATCTGTCCAGCTGGGCTGAGGGTAATGATCAAACCCAGTGACTGCTTCCAATGCTGGTTGGGTCTTTCTTTTAATTTCACTTCATACGTCCTAGTGATTGAATAGTGATTGAATGGGTCTCCGACATTGGAGGCAGATTTGATTGGGTAACAGTGAATGTTTATTGAGTGCCCACCACACCTGGGTGCTTTGCCAAGTGCTTTGCAGATACTGCCGGATGGAGGGCTCAAAACAGCCCTGTTACGTGGAATGGATGATCATGAGTCCCTTTGTACAGATGCAGAAACTGAGACCCGGGGAGGTCTCACAAGGGGCACAAGAAAGCTTGTGCCCCAAATAGTATGGCCAGAATTCACTCCAAGGCAGGCTGACTCCAGAAGTCAAGCTTTTGACTTACCTGGAGATCCAGTGGTTAAGATATTGTGCTTTGGCTGCAGGGGGCTCCAGTTTGATCTCTGGCTGGGGAACTAAGATCCTGCATGCCTTGAGGTGAGGCCAAAAAAAAACAGAAAAAAAAAAAAGAGCAGAAGTCAAGCTTTTGGCTAATATCCACCCCTGGAGCAGATAGCTGTAGCCTATCTCTGCAGCCTCAGGAAGTGGGCAAGAGGGGGGAATTTGTGTGTGCTTGCAAGTATGGGTGTCGTGGGTGGTGCAGATTTCCGGGGTCAGCCAGCAACTGCCCTGGGATTCCAATGGCAGAGGCCCAGGCTGGGGAGAACTTTCCAAAGGCCAGCCGTTTCCTCTGGGCTGCTCCGGGGCCTTGCCTGAGCCCACCAGCTCATTTAAGCTCTGCTCTGGTTCTGTTGCAGGACTACAGAGTGGCCGGCTCCGCGCCCAGTTTGCCTGCCGTGTAACAGGATAGTTTATATTATACCGCCGAGCAGAAATAAAACTACTGACTCAAACATTGCAAACAGATGCCGCCGGCCAGAGCCCAGGGTCCGCGGCCAGATGCTGTTCTGAGAACCCTGGGAGGGCAGAAGCCGGGAGCCTGGTCCCTCCAGACCCTACAGGTTGGGGAGGGGGCCGCTGCAGGAGGAGGTGTGGGGGCGCTGCTAAGGGGCTTTCGGAAATGGAGGGGGGCAGGAAATGAAGAAGGCCCATCTTTCCTTTCTCAAATTTTCTTCATGAATTCAGCCAGTTTGCCACTTGAGACCTGCCAGTTTTTGGATTTTAATGGCTTTTTCTCCCAGGCAGAGGTGAAAGAAACCCGGGAAGCCTCCTGGAAATCCCATGTGAGTTCTCCTCAGATACCCCCAAATAAACATGCTCTGAGTGCCCTAAACCCCCCTCTTAAGAAGATTTTTGCCCCTAAGCGCTCGAGAGAGTTCTAGAACTTCCATCTCCTAATTATCTCCCCCAGCCCCACCCATGTTTGCTGCTTCATCTGCTAGACCGCGGTCACCAGGACCTTCTTAAAACCTGCCAAGTCCTGCTCTTTCTCCCACACCTTCAGTGGCTCCTCACTGTCCACCGTAGCGCTCCTCAAAGGGCGGTCTGAGGAGGGCTCGCATCAGAATTCCCTGGGATGGTTCCCAGGGCCCCACCCCTGAGTTAAGGAATCCACCGCTTTAGGGGCCTAGGAATCTGCATTGTAAACAATCTGAAAGGCTTTCTGGAAGGAGACTAGATGTAATTATTTGTTTAGAAAAATGAGCACATTGTAGAGTTAGTAAGGTGATGTCGCGTGGAAAGCGGGTGCAGTTCTTTTCATGCTGTTTATTCAGCAGGTGTTTGGACTACCTACGGCGTGCCAGGCACTGAGCTAGGGGCTGGATCCCTGGGATCCAGTCTAGACAAGGTAAGTGAGGTTCTGGTTGTCTTGTATTTCCAGTGACTTGGCAGAAAGAAGAGCTGGATGATGACTAGAAGGTTTCGGAAGACATCATGGGGAGACATCTCAGGAGGGAAAAAGTGAATTATCCACAAGGATTCAGGGGCGGTGCTCCCCATCAAAGGTTGGTGTCAGGAAAGACTCAGGTCAGAATCCAGACACGGGATTGAAGGTGCTGATGAGCTCCCCAGCAGCACAGACTTTGGGGAGAAGGTGAGAAAAATGAGGAAATGGGGCACCCCTGCTTTCTCATCTGTGCGTGTCTCCTGCACACTCTGAAGGCAGGGACCTTATCTCCTCATCTTCCGCCTAGCCCCTGGAGTTGCCCGCAGTGGTCTGGAAATGTTTGTGGAATGAATAAAAGTAGGGTGGTAGGAGAGGAAGGGGGAGATGAAAGACAAAGAGGAGAGGAAAGAACAAAAAAAAGAATGAATAAGGAGGGCTTTCCCTGGTGGACCAGCGGTTAGGACTGTGAACTTACATTGCTTGGGGGGGCACGGGGGTCCATCCTCCGGTTGGGAAATGAAGATCCTGCATGCCTTGAAGTGCGGCAAAAAAAAAAAAAAGAATGAATAAGGAGATAGAAAAAGAGGGGAAGAGATGACCAGGCCTCCTGGTTAGTTCATAAACCCCAGACGTGATTTGGAGTAGGAGTGAACACAATGTATGTGTGCATGAGTGTGGATAGGAATAAAGCCCTCGAGAATATGAGAGTCTGTTCTTAGAAACCAAGGCATCTAAGAACACAGAAGTGGCCCCTTCCCTGTGGTCCATTGTCTCTTGTGGGGGAGGAGAAGGGAGAGGAGGCTGATGTAAAAACTGGGGATGGGAATTCTCTGGTGGTCTAGTGGTTAGGACTCTGCGCTTCCACTACACAGGGTTGAGGTTTGCTCACTGGTCTGGGAACTAAGATCCCACATGCCTTGAGGTATGGCTACAAAAAAAAAAAAAAGGAATTAAGAAAAATATTGGGGGTGACAGTGGGCATGTGGAGCTGACCTGGCTAGAGATTCATATCAGTGAGGGCAGTCACAGAGGCTGCCAGGGAAAAGGCAATTGTGTGTGTGTGTGTGTGTGTAACAGGCAGAGACTTTCAAAGCAATCAAAATAACTCTGACGAACACTCTCTCCTACCCTCTCCCTCTCGAACCCCATTTCCTCCCAGTTGAGGCTCAGGGCAGACATGCCTGAATGTAATTCTAAGAGGCAGGGGAAGCCTGAGCAATTATTTTTACACTAAAAAAAAAAAAAGTTTTTTTTTTTTTAAGCCCTCAAAGATACAGGCATGCTCCAGGCTCAAGACTCGGTGGAGGCCCTGACCACCCCATCCCTGAGCGTGCCTCCCCTCCACCACCCCCATATGGTCTGGCCTCTATCTTCTGCCCGCCTGTGACAGACAGACCAGGCCAGGCACCCCCCAGAGACCACCCCCTCCCTAACCGGAGGCCTGTCCCCTCTGAAACTGATCCCGGGTCTTTGGATCTAATTTGTTTCTCTGTCTGCTGGGTTTGGGAAGGGAGGGGGGGGTCTGGCCTGGAGACATAGTGGTCACAGGTGACATCAATCATGTCTGCGTCTTCCCAGGGACGGGGGTAGGATATCAGAGAGGTGACCAAGCATTTGCCACATGATTCAAATCATCTCAGCATTGATTAATTGGGTTCATCCTGAGTTTCTGAATCATAACAACTGTTTTTCTCCTTCACCTAACGTCAACATACCCTTAAAGGGGAAGGATCCATTTACCTGCGGCATGTGGTGCGTTGAACGGATCAGCTCCCATTAAATGTTAAATACTGGATGCGTCTTGGACAAACTCGATTTGCTCGGGATACTTTTCAAAGGTTGGGCGATGATTAGACATCTCTCTCCCCGCCTCGCCCCTTCCTCTCTGGCTTTTTCCCCGGGATGTGTTTTGGCTTCAGCCTCTGGCAGATGGGATGCGGGAACGTGTGGGCTGATGCAGAGGGTCCTTGGGGGTGGGGGGTGGAGACGGGGTGGCGGCTGAGCCCCCACAGGCTGTTTAAGAGAGATACAGTTTCTGAAAAGTTTAATAAGGCAGAAAACAATCCGGATGCCAAATTTGCCTTCCAAAAGCTAAATATCCGGAATGTTTCCTGCCCCTAAATGAAGGAGAAAACAGCATTTCCCAAGCCAAAAAAAAAAAAAAAGAGGCAGTTTTCTAGAGAAGAGTAATTATGTTTTTGCACTGGTATGGGTTCTGAAAGCTAAATAACCCAGTATGCTCGGCCTGGAAGCAAAATCCAGCTCTGAGGTGATCAGTCTGTGAGTGGAGGGGTCAGGGAATAAAAAAGCAAAAACAAAGTTCAGGTGAATTTCTAGTTGTCTTTCCTACATGTGAAAGGAGATGCCCACCTTGGTGACACCAGGTGACACAGGGCTGTGTCACCTGGGACAAGTCACTATGTTTGAATCCCAGTTTTCTGACATCTCACTTTATAGTAAGAGGATGAATCCTAGTCACTGATCTGTTGAGAAGTTTAGATGAAAGAAGGTTAATGAAATAGCTCAATAAATGCAGAGGCTTGATAGGTTAAATGGTGTGTGTTGAAGGCAGGGACGGGGCTATGGCTGGAAGACCCTGGTGCATCGCGTGTGTGCATTCGTTTGGTTCACAGAGTTTCAAAATTTAGACGCGCTCCAAGATTTCACCAAGGGGACAGTTTTGGCTGTGATAACTGGTGGGAAACCTGGCAATGGAGATCAATCTGTGAGTGTGGGCTTGGCAGCCTTCAGTAACGTTGGAAGAGTGAACTGGAAATTGATTATCGTGTCTGGAAGGTTCTCAGGGAGAGTGGAGGCTCTTCACCCCCAAGGAGCAAACCTCCAGGGAATCTCCCCATCAGCAGTATTTTTCTCTTCTAACACCACGTTCAGATACTTGAGGTGACCTGTGTCCTCTGTGACGCCAGTCTCGTCCTTAGTGACGTACAGAAGGTGACTGAGGCTTTGGACAGGTTCACCATCTACTGTGGCTCTGGGTTAGGGTGAATCTTCCCTGCCTGAGCCTTGTTTTCCTGACTGCTGCTGTTGCCTCTGCTAAATGGTTTTGTGGAGTGACTGGGCTTTCCTGGGAGACATCGAAGGGGGTAGATAGATCATAGGGGGAGAAAGAGAGGCAGAGGTGGAAAGAGTCCAAAGACGGAAGGAGACGAGAGAGAGACACCCAGACACAGAGGGAAAAACACAGGAGAGAAAAGGACAAAGAGGAAAGGAGAGGGGAAAAAAAGGAGAGAGAGACAGAGAAAATTACCCCCACGTAGATAATACAGAGGAAAGGAGCCAGGAGAGGGTCAGAAATACCCGGCCGTACCTGCAAAGAGAAACAGAAACACAAAGACACAGTCCTACAAGGAAAAAGACAGAATATACAGAGAGCTAATGAGTAGGCAGATGTGATACTTGAATTGTCATATCTTGGACTAGTAGGTGACTGATCCTGACTCTCTTTTCTCTCCTAGAACGTGGAATTCCCTATCAGCATCACCAGGCCTTCAAAGTCCCTTGCTCCTGGTGCCCTGGGGGCCACTGCTGAGATATCACAAAGTAGACCTCAGGGCTGCGAGGCAGGATTACATCAGGGGAGGGATGGATGGGGGGGGGGTGCGGGGGGGAGGATCAAAGGCATCCAGGGCCCTGGCTTCATTGGCAGGACTCCCAGTGGGCCCCATAGGCCTGAATTCCTGGCGGGACCCCCAGGAAACATTCTGATGGGCAGATAGAGCCGTTCTAACCGCAGGCTGCCTTCTCCCTCCCCCTCTTCCTTGTCCTCTGGTTTGTTCCTTGAAATCAGAATTGGGGGTTGCTGAATGCTTCACCCGACTCCGGACAGCAGGGTCTGCTCTTCTAAGGTATCCCCATTCATTCTTGAGTCTCAGTTCCCTTGTGTGTGAAATGGACATTCTAGTAACAGGTGGGGATCCCGAGTTGTCTGAAGACTCAGTGGAGTGATGTTAAGTATTCAGGAGGGAAAAAGAAGAAGGAGAAGGGGAAGAAGAAGAGAAAGAAGAATATGGTGAAAGGGAATTCCCTGATGGCCAGTGGTTAGAACTTGGTGCTTTCACTGCTGGGGCCCAGGTTCGATCCCTAGTCCAGGAACTAAAATCCCGCCAACCAAAACAGACAAACAGAACCCCAGTGTTTTGTTTGTTAAGTGTTCAGGAGGCAGAAAGATGTTCTGTTTTGGGGTGAGACACTCTTGGGATTAAATCAAGCTGTCTTTCCTATAGTTGTTCAGTCATTAAATCGTGTCCAGTTCTTTGCGACCCCATGGGCTGCCGCACGCCAGGCTTCCTTATCCTTCACTATCTCCCTAAGTTTGCTCCAACTCATGTCCATTGAGTCAGTGATGCCATCCAGTCATCTCATCTTCTGTCGCCCTCTTCTCCTCCTGCCTTCAGTCTTTCCCAGCATCAGGGTCTTTTCCAATGAGTCAGCTCTTTGCATCAGGTGGCCCAAGTCTTTGAGCTTCAGTTCCAGACTTTTCCTGAGACTTAGTCTTCTGCTGTGTAAAATGGGGATCCTAGAAAGATGTCTCGCTGCATAGCCATGGGCTATAAACCATCACCTGTGCTCAGCCGAGCCTGGGGCCGGTGCCTAGGAAGCATGGGGCCCATGGCGGCTCCAGGAGACAGAAGCCAGATTGCTGCCGAGACAGGGGGTAATATATGGCATCTAACTCCAGCCGAGAATTGAATTCAACCTCAGCTGGAGAATTAGAACATTGTGATTAGAAACAAGAGGGGAGAAGGGACAAAACAAGCTGTCTTCAAGTGCATGATGACAGAGCACAGACTCTCCTGGCAGCCCCGGGGGTGGGGGTGGGGGGGGGATGCTGGAGAAAGACAGGGCAGATCATATTAATAACAATAAATTATATCTGCACGGTGATTTATGGCTCTGATGCGCTTCCTATTTTGTTATAGTAAGTGCCTTCGGAAGGGCGGACTCCTCTGATGACGGTCACAGCCCTTTTAATGTTGTGGCTGCTGTTAATGACAGTGGTGTGATCTGTGTTATTATTGATGTGATTTTTCCTAGTTTTCAAATTGGGGAAACTGAGGTTCAGGGACAACGGGTAGCTGGCCCAGGGAAAGAGTTGGCCCAGGATTTAAATCCAGGTTTTGTCCTCCTGGATCTTTGCTGGCTGCTTCTTGGAAATGAGAGTCCCTTTTCCATGCTGCCAATTTATCTCCTCTGCGCCCCCCGGGGAGTTTCAGTTTATTCTTTCTCATGGTAGACAATCCAGTCGTCTCTGCTTGTCATCCAGTGGTGAAGAGACACAGAGATTCCTCCTGTTGAACCCCGAGGTCTTCCATCTGCCTAACCCACCAGCACTCCATCTCCACCCTTTATTCTCACTGGTGGGAATTCCCAGCGAAGAAGGCGTTCTCTCCAGCGGCTGCCCATTGTGGGGCGGGCACAGGTGACTCGGATATGGACTTGAACTTCCAAGTTCCCCCACCTAGCTGGCTTCACGTCTCTCTTTGAACCCAGCAGTAGCTGGTTCACCGTCCTCTCTCCCTCTCACCTCCTGTCCTTCCCTTCAGGAAACCTGTAGTCCCGATGAACGACCGCGTTGATTTGGGGACCAGGTTCACTTGGTGTTTGCAGAACGAGCTATTTCAAGAATGTGCAGATTCAGTCCTGGAAATGGCCTAAGAGGAGACTGGCTGGGCTTCAGAGCAGCAGAACAAATGAGCTCCCCCGCCCACCCGCCCCCCGCTCCTTGCACCCCATCCTGCCATTTCCTTTGTCTCAGTCCAAAATCCCCCTTTACATGATCCCGGAGGCTTCCTAATAAAATAGAACTGTAACTTTATCTAAGACGAGTGCAGCACATGTAGAATGGATAAGGTGTAATTAATAACAGAAAATAATGTTTCCCCCTCCTGACCTCTCACCCCTATATAAGTGTCTTAAGTTTTATGGCAGCCGGGCCCAAAATGAGTGTGTGTGTGCATGTGTGTGTGTACGCCCGTGTGTGTGTGTGTGAGCACACCCGTGTGTGCGTGTGAGTGTGTGGTGCATGTTCCAGTGTGTGTGTCTGAGCTGAGCCTATGTGGGGCCAATACGTCTGTCTGCTGAGTATTCACCTAGCCCTGACTGGAATTGGTTTATGTTTCTGGGTAGACTGGCCTCTCGCTGAACCCAGGCACTGCCTGAAATTGATCTGATTCCTTGAAGTCCAGATTTGGTCTAGATCTTGAAATACCTTGTATCTATTTCTATGCAAAACTTGGGGGCAACGCAGAAGCTGAAGAATGGAAAAACTAAAGGGGTGAATGTGGGTGTGTACACACACATAATCTTTTAGATGATCTAGTATGTTTCAGAACCCTGGTGGATTCTGAGGAGGGCGTATTGATACTTCTTTGGGCAGGAAACCAAGACCTACATTGGCCTTGATGCTGTAAACCATGGGACAAACAAGGATCTCCTTATGCAAAATGCTCTCTTAAGCAATTGCATCTCATGTGGGGCTTTGCAGGTGGCTCAGTGGTAAAGAATCTGCTTGCGAATGCAGGAGCCGTGGGTTCAATCCCTGGGTCGGGAAGATATCCTGGAGGAGGAAATGACGATCTGCTCCACTATCTTGCCTGGGAAACCCCATGGACAGAGGAGCCTGGTGGGCTTTAGTACATGGGGTCAAAAAAGAGTTGGACACGACTGAGTGACTGAGCCCTGAGCATGCTCTTTGTCATGTAGCATCATCCACCCTGTTCATCTGAGAAAGAAGTGTGCTTGGCCCAGTGGGGTAGGGGCTGGAGGAAGCAGGGCAAAGGATGAAGGGACTCCCATTTCCAGCTCACCGCAGACTGTTGTCTGCTGTGGAAATTGAAGGGCACATGCACCCATCCTGTTTGTCTTCATGGAGCTACAGCTACGTTCCCCTCAAGTAGTATTATCTTGCTTTAAAGGTCGCTGGGCTGGCCCGAGCTCTTGGTTTCTCATGATTCATTACGTTTGATGCTCAACTGTTGGAGAAGTCTCTGCAGCGCCAACCTCCGGGTTAATGGAAGCCACACCAGTCGCGAAGCCCGGTGGCTTTGAATCCTCCCAGGATGGGGAAGCCTGGGCAGGACGCAGGGAGCTGCCTCTTTTGATCAGCAGCACTGATGTGAACCCGAGGTCACGCATGTTGGGGGCCCTGTGAGTGAGTCCTGTGAGACAGCGGCAACTGGGCCCTCCATCTTCCTTCCCACCTCAGGCCTGGGGAATCTTGTTTTCCATGGTTGCTCTTCTCTGGGCTGACTTTTCCAGGACCCCTAGGGCACCAAAGGGACTTGGGTTGGGGGGGAAGATCTGGAGCCTTAAATCATTTGAGAGGACCCCTCTGTCTGCCCCTCTGGCCTTCCTTTCTTCCATTTCTGGCTCTTTCAGGCGAAGATAAAACCAATCCCTACCCCCGCTTCCCCCTCCCGGGGGACGCCGGCTCTCCGATGTTAGGTGACAGGCTGGATCTGAAGGGAGATCTCTTTCTCCCCGGGGGAGTCGTTGGGATGTTGAGTTCTTTTATGGACATGCTTGAACTCCAGAGAGCCCCCAGACTGACAGCCACCTCTGCTCAATTGATCGTATATTTTCCTGACATTCTGTCATTCCATCAAACTTGCCCAAATGCTTTGGCCTGCCATATTTTTATGATCCTTCTTCCAAGAGAGGATCCGTGGAGAGTGGGTCAGCATGATTTATCTCCCAGGAAAAGGGATGGAGAATTTCTTATCTCTGGTATCAAGAGGTGGGATTTCCCTCTTATCACCCTGTGTCTTTTGCTTTGGGGTTTTAAATGCGATACCAATGGGTTGGATTAAGCAATTCAGGGAGTTCTTGAGGCTTCCAGCTTCAGAAAGTTGATGATGACCAGGAATTGAGGACTCCACCGTCTCC